TATGTAGATTGTCTTCTAGGCACCTACTTGTCGAGGCCTCACTTGGGCCATCCAGTGGTGAATCTTTCTCGTCTTTCCTACGGAAGAAGATGATACAGATATGTTGATATGTCTCGTCTCTCCAAACGCTAGAGAGTCTTGTACATCACTTCACGTTATCTTTCGATAAGTGGTGTACGAAGCGCGACATTCAGAAGCATGTACGCCACCTAAAACATACATAGTCTTAGTGTGCGGTTTACCTGTATCATGTACAGCACCCAATCTGTATATGGAAGGCATTGTCCCATGAAGGTGTGAATCAGAGTCATCGCCTTGCCAGTCCTCGACTATCAGACGGCGCGTCTACCGAGAAGACTTGTATACGTCGGGTCGAATCGCAACTTGCCATCTATCGGGGTTTGACAGAAGGTCCTCTTCGAAAGTCGATAGAGTCCTGCTAGAACACACACACGCATTTGCCAGACCTAGTTTTACTGTCGAGGCTGAGCAGACGAAGCACAGAGCTGCAACAAAGATGACTTGGAGAATGATCTGCAAACAGACGGCCTTACTTGAGTTTGGCAAGAGCCTTAATCAATTGTTCATTTCAAACGTATACCTCTCCCTGTACAGTAGATCCAGACCCAATGCACCCCAGTAACCAATAGCAATGTATCCACTAAGCGCCCCTTCTAGCCGTAGTACTCATAAGCGTAATCTTCTTCCCCTTCTTCTTACCCTTCCCGCCACCTCCCCCACCACCACCAATACCACTCTGCGGAGTCCTGCTGCCACTGACGCTGGCGCTGGCGCTAGCGCTGGTACTGCCTTCACCAAGGCTGGCCGCTTGCACCTGGGCGATAAGCTCGTCGTCTCCGACAAGATCTTTCTCCCAACCTTGCAACCAACCATCGTCAACAGGTCCTTGGGGCAGTTGGAAGTCTTCATCTGACGGTGCGATAACCGTAGTGCCCCAGACCGTGCGCATGGCATTCGGGCTCGTGCCAGGACTTGCCAGAGAACCAAATCCTGCCCTCTGGCTTCCGCTGCCGAATGGCGGACTGCCATCAACGCTGGCTGCGCTCTCTGCCACTTCGGTGCTGACCAATGGGGTAAAGTCGTCTTTGGAGAATGCTCCATTCTCTTGACTGACACTGATTCTTTTTCTTCTGGCCGCGTTGAATTCCCTCTCTTCAGCCTTCATCGCCTGCACTCTCTCCTTCTCCTCCCGCATCTCCTTGTCCATATTTCTCTTCCTCCTCCGCTCAATATCTGGAGCAAATCTGGCTAACACCTCCGGTGCCACAGTATCTGTCCAGTCGCATTCTAAGAACCCGACTTCGCACCCGTAGGGCAGGTGACTAAGATACTTGACGCGTTTCCGGAGATCGTCGTCAACAATATGGCCGGTAGAGACGCGCTCGACGCGCGGAAGGATTGAGGATGGGAAAGAGGTGTAGGAACCGAAGGCGGATTTCAGAATTCGAATATCGAGGGGCGAGAGATAGTAGTGGAGTAACGCTTGGTAGAAGAGATACGAGTCTGGTTGGACGTGAGATGAGGCGTGCTGTCTTGCGCGGAAGTCAGCTAATGAGGTGGAGAGGACGCCTGAGTTGGGTCCTTGATTTGACATTTGTGAATTGGTGCCCGGTGTGGAAGATCCGGTAGGCTCGGTAGAGGCGGAGTCTGGTGTTGCCGATATACTCTGACCTGAAAGAGCAGCTTGTTGAACGGTGTACATGTCGGGTACCTCGTCTTCGGTATTATTGAATTCAATGGGTGGCTTCTTTGGCTTTTCCTCCGGCTTCTTCGGCATCACAGGTGGATTTCCAATGCCCTTTACTTTCTCTTTGGACTCTTGAAGCAGCCTCACAGCTCTTCCAGTCCACTCTGTATCTTCGCCGAACATAAGCTCGTCTTCCTGCTCCAGAGCCTTGACTGTTGCAATGCCATACTCGAACTGCTCTAGCATGTAATCTTCTCCTCCCTTCATGACACGTGCATAGTCCATGACTTCTGCAGCATGATACCACGGTACGTCCTCGCCTTTGGCCAGTGTATCTGTGTCTTCTCGCGGCATAGCAAGAGTACTTCCAGCGTCTCTCTTGAGCAACCTCAACACCACATCGGCACCTTCTCTTGGCGGTTCACCTTCTTGGCCTGTATACCACCGCACGGGTCTCGTCTCTGAGATGTAGATGCTGTCCCAACATATCGGGCATTTCTTCCAGCGTGCTTTCTTCTCAGCCGGTTTCTCGGCGTCTTCGGAATGCATATATCGAATCAAGCAGGGCAAGCAGAAGATGTGCCCGCACTTGGCCATCCTAGGAGCAACCGGCGTACCCAGGCATATCGGACAAGCGGCAGACTGCGATTGCGTGGAGGCCAGGATCTGCAAGACATTGTTCCAATCGAGATGCACGTCAGCATCAACGCTTTGTGCCTGGTAATCAGCGCGCGGGTCGACGATGAAGCGGTAGTTTGCGTGCACATATCTGTGTCCCTGTCAGATGTGGTCTCTGCTTGGGCTCACCAGCATTAGCCTACCTCGCCTTGTCCACGGCATGATACCCAGATCCTAGACCCCACGTGCGAGTATTCCTCGAGCTCCTCCCTCCTCCATATCGTTGTGGCTGATACTGAGGCCGTGGTGGTAGGGCAAATTGCATCAAATGTGTGATCGAGGTCTGGCCTTTGCGACTGTTTACGGAATGCATGGCAGCCTTTCAACCAACGGGTCAGCTAGGTCGCGTCGATTGAGCAGATTCATATATACTCACGGACTCAGCAAAAGCATCCTCATCCGCAAGCCGGAGTTGTGCTTTCCTCGACTGCTTGTGTTTGTTCTTAGATCCTTGATCTTTTCGTGGCGCGGGCGATGATCGTGAAGATGCCCCAGCTCCGAAGCTGCTAGATCCGCCACTCCGGCGCTGATTGAGGCCTTCAGTAGCGAAGAAGGCGCTGGCTTGCGAATGAGCGGGTGAGCCCTGGTTGGAGATGCTTGGTGCTTTGGATGAGGTGCTTGATTTGGCCGATAAAGCAGAGGGTGGGTTGGAAGACATGGCCGGTCGTCAGAAGGAGGGCCTATGATGTCGTTGTTAAGCAAACGCTCGGCTTTGGTCTGAAAAAGGGGAGGCGCCGAGGTGGTTCAGCCTAGCAAGGGCTATACGTCGAGGTGGATGTTTCGTGCAATATGAGTGACCGCTGTAATACACAACCGGCCCTGGAAGGGAGGTGTAAGAGTAGAACGGAAGAGAAGTGGGCAGTGATTCATTGCTAATCGCCAACCACGTCGGCACGCGGGGCAGCGCCAAGACCAGCCATCACCTCGTCGTCCTGTTCAAAACGCTCGCGCTTTGTCTTCCCAGATCAACGCCACAAACAACATGTTGATTGAAGAATCCTACCGAGATGTGCCCACCAAGGAGGGCGGGGACATGCGTAGGATTGACTTTGTAGACTCTTATTTGTCCATTGCTGACACGCTGTAGGCGTGTTCCTGTGGCATCCGACTATTCCGAACTACCCCAAGGCGAAGTTTCCCGGTGTAGTCGTGTTTAGTGAGATCTACCAAGGTAGGCAATGTCCTCTATCTTCTATCCATCCTCCATGGGCTGCGACATGTGTCCGTCAATACGGCTTATGACTGGTTCTGCCTACCACCGGCGCCCCTGATTTGGAAACGTCCACTGCCAAGACATAGCGCAGAGGAAGGTCTACAGCTTGTACAGCTTGTATCAGTTGCCTGGCCTTTGTGTCTGGCTCCCAATTGTCTCTAGTCTAATAATGATTCGCCAACAGTCACCGGCCCTGTCGCCCGCTTTGCGAAGCAGATCGCCGGTCAGGGTTACATCGTCGCTGCACCTTCTTCTTACCACGAGTTCACCGGCCCAGAACCATTGGCCTACGATGGCCCGGGGACTGACGCGGGAAACGCATGGAAGATCGAGAAGGTAAATCTATGTAAACGTCCCAGCTCCGGTGCCTACGCTTATGCCACCCAGAAAGTGTCCGCCTACGACGAAGACGCAGAGCTCTCCGTGTCGCTACTCCTCTCTCTAGAAACATGCAACGGCCGCATTGGTGCGACCGGAATGTGTTTGGGAGGTCACCTCGCCTACCGATGTGCGCTGGACAAGCGTGTTGCCGCCGCTGTATGCTATTTTGCGACAGACGTTCACTCTCACACCCTCGGCGCTGGTAAGAATGATGACTCACTGGACCGCGCTGGCGACATCAAGGGCGAGCTCGTTATGATCTTCGGAAAGAAGGACAACCACGTACCGCCTGAAGGACGCGACCTCATCCGCAAGACTTTGCACGAGAAGGGCGTCACGTTCAGCTTCTTTGAGGCAGCGTGGGCGCAGCATGCTTTTATCAGAGACGAGTTGAGTAAGGGACGATACGATCCTGGGCTCACAAAGCTTTGCTTCGAAATGCTGCTTGAGTTGTTTAACAGGACGTTGAGGTCGGATCTTGGGCCGAGAGCTGGAGGCGAGATGGAGATTGAGGATGTTTGTTAAGAAGTGCCACAGATAGCCGTGCACAGAGATACAGACAACATCGTATCTTAAAATAGTATCCTGCTAATTAAAGCGTATTGCCTACTACGTATTGTCTTTGTAATTGAAGTTTGATGTCTCCTCTCTGTTGCTTCGATGGATGGTGGACAGCGGATTACATCGACCATTTTGATGGTGAATGGGCTGTTTACGAAGTTCACTGCGCCATGTAGACGTGACAAATAACGTCGCAGAATGCCTGGAGTGGAGTGTCCACCTACTGACTAACTAAAACCCAGAAAGCAGGTTGAGGGGTACTTGTGGCGACTGAAATTGCAATTGTCCGAGGAGAGAGGCGCCTAGTAGTTTGCGTGAAAGACACCGACGATCTTGGGTGTAAGAGACCTGGCTGAGTAAGGCTGAGGCAAAAGAACGGAGTAGTGAGCTTGGAAAATGGTCAAAAATGGTGAAAAATGGGCAAAAAGCAAAAGAAATGTTAGAACGTTGTAACACCAATAGCTGAGAACGGTTTCGATCCGTCGTCCTCCGGGTTATGAGCCCGGCGCGCTTCCGCTGCGCCACTCAGCTGGTTTGTTGGAATAAGATTGAGTAATGTAATACATATCCTTCATTTGTGGCTCAAATCCCCACCAAGCGGCGACCTTTTAGGCGAGAAAAGCCGACGATAACGGATCCCACGCGCGAAGATTTGACCAGGCCTTGGCACGCGGAACTCCAGTTCGAACCTTGAGCCAGTACGTCCTTCGAGACCCGAGATCGAAAAGTACACCGGGTCTTTGTTCCCAAGGAAGAGCCGTGAGGCCCGCAACCGCAACGCTGCCCATGTTCTGCGTTGCCATAGGCATTATACGACAGTGCTATTCCTATAGCAAAGCTGCTCAGACCACACGAGGGACAATATCTCTTTGCGGGACTGCATGAAATGTAAAGAAACGCAGCGGCTTACCAAGGCGTATTAGCATCTCCTCCACTCATATGTATCCACAACCCACTCCGCGCTGCTATCCGCACTCGTGTAAGTAATTACGCGTGTTTCGTTACTGCAAGAATGTTAGGACCCCTGGGCATTAAGCTGCCGTAAGGTCTACTTGACTGAAGCACTGCAATTCCACCCCCACATCGTACCGCAAAGATTTCAGATGCATGATTTGGCCTGAGCAATTTGACACCTAACTGGGCTTCACGATTATGTTGTAATCTGGATGGCGTAAAGTCACCGCATATATGTTCACTGTGACATCGTTCAGGAATCAGCATGATTCGGCGGGTTTGCATGGTGAGGAAAATTCAAGCTTCATACCACGCATGTGTCCTTCCCTGCCTTCGGCATCGACCCAGTACGACAATTCGACATCTTCATTTTATGAGAAATACAATCACAGTAGTGTCAAGAACATCGAGGTCATTGGGGCACGTAACGCCACCTGCACACACAAAGCTTGCACTGGTCGCATGTCGTTAAAAACAACCTCCCGAGATAAGGCTGACCTTGGGGACCGACTGTCCGGCCAGAGACCAGAATTAGCCTAGCATGTGTCGACACGTGCGTGCAGATCGTTAAGGCAAGGCTGCTGCGGGTAGTTCTAGAAGGAAGGTGCAGTTGCGCGGCGAGGAAGGAGCGTACTGAGGCGTAAGCGTACAGTGCGGGCGGAGTACCCAGGTAGGTACTCACACTTCCGGACCCTAAAGTAGGACGGGATGTGGACTACCGCGAGGGCTGTCACTGCTTATATTGTACGCGTCAATGCTGTGAGCGCAAAGGACGATATACCGTAATGTGTAGTGTCTGAGAATCTTATAGTACCTGAGCTTGAATTGAGAATGTAGGTAACTCACTGTACTTTCAGACGATCGCATACGGGACATTCCCCCGGCATTTGAAAATGCTATAACAAAAGACTGTAACCATGCAAACATAAAATCCGCCAGATATCTAGCTTACGCGAAAGCTAGCTCAACCCTATAAGCTCTCCCTCCTTCTCCTCCCTCCGGCCCGCTAGCCCCGCCTCCCTTGAGCCCTCCTCCTCTGCGAGAGCTATATGCACGTAACGTCCGGACTCGCAATATTTGCTTCGGCTTTCTTGTCCCATCAATCTCTTCGCTCAGCTCCTGTAAATTCATATTATAGATAACTTCTGCTTTTCCATCGTTTACCGCTTGAACAAGCTCAAGGAGCTTGATGCTCGACGGCTCTTCTGCAGTAACGACATCAGCCAATCTGAACCAGCCATACCGGATCCCATTTTTACCCAGTTTGAAGATAGTGGGCTCGGGGAAATGCTCCGCGACCACGAAAACGAGCCAGATGTCGAGGTGTTTCCACCTCATCTGGACCCATTTCCAGGAGTCCAGATGGGTACACCATCCGTCAATGCCCACCGATAATAGTTCCACGAGCATGCCATCTCGGGCGGCGTCCAAAAGCTAACCATCTCTGTAATGGTCGCGTTACCGCTAACGGCCACAGTACCATCTTCTTCGGTACGGAATAATGGTTCCCGGCTAGACATTCGGGCTCTTGGAATTGCCGCTTTTAGGCAACGATCATCGTCTGCTGCCCAGGCGAATGCTGCGGCCTCGGCACGCTTGAACATGCCTTCTAATCCGTATGTTGGAGGGTGGGAGCTCGCCCTCGTGAAGGCCAGGACGAATCTGGTGGGCGCATCGGGGTTGTCCACGACACCGGCATGGACGATGTCTTCTTTCCACAGTCCATCTCATTATCTGGCTGCTGTCGAAGGGAGTCACAGAGTATCTGTTGTATTTTCTTGCAGGGATGAATATGTCTGTGTCACCGAGTACATAGGTGAGAGAACTTCCTTCTGCCACCTATACGCGTAGGTTCGGCCAAGTTTTCCTCCTCAATGCCATGCTGACTATAGAGGAAGGAGCGATGCATGCGAGGAAATCGTACAATACATGCCTATGGAGACAGCACGACTCGTTGCACACTCGTTGCACTCTAGAATTCGAATGAGACCTATACCCGTAGGTCCCACCAAGGTTTTCTCCTCGGTGCGATGCTGAATGCAGAGCAAAGAGCGATGCAAGTGACGAATTCGTACAATGTATGCCTCTGGGGACAACATGACTCGCTGCACACTCGTTGCACTCTGGATTTCGGATGACCCTCGTTTGCTGCCGTAGTCCACAGTATTCCCATTTGTGCAGGACGTGCGTGAGGCTCGCTATGAGTTCTAATACCCCGATTCGGCAATTCTGATGAGGGCCCGTGGACCTCGAATGCCCGCGTCCAATCGTTGACGTGCAGATGACGGCGTTGATTGGGCGCGTCCATGCCCAGGCGTTTCCTTGAACACCAAAACAGTTCGCGCGCTTCTGTCCGTTGCCCTGCGAAATTATCCACAGCCCACTCCCCTCTTTTCCTTGTTTATACTTCTTCCCGCAGCGGCTCGTCGCGTCTGCTTTAATATTGATTGCAAGTAGAAAGCCATTGACTTGGTTGGAAAGCGCCAGCACCGCTGCGAGTGCGTAGAAAGAGCTGATGACCGTCACAAGAAGCCAAACGGGCAGGACGCCCAAGTGAGTACTGCATAATCCTCCCACGCGCCATGGACACTGTGGAACAAGAGACTATGTCATGCTATACATTTTCTGCAACATCTGGGCGCGTACTGGGCTGCGAAGCCGAGAAGGACTGCCATAGCCGAACGAGAATCCCTCGAGCTTGCGCGGAGGACTCGGCATCTCATACTCTCAAATTGCTGACCATTCCTCCTATTCAGAAAGCCAGCACTTCCTGAAGGCTTTGTGGAGACACCGTCTCGCCGGCGCTCTGTCCGTAGATCTGTCGCCCCGCGCTCGGAGTCTCCAGTACCAGCCAAGAACGCTGTCGCGGTAAAAAATGAAGAGACGGAGGGCCAGAGCAACGGACATGCCAATGGCAAGCCCAAGGATACCGCCCGCACCCCAGAGAAGAAGCAAAAGAAGCAGGTCATAGATGGCTGGGAGGTCGGCTCAGATCCTAAGATCGATCACAACCCACATTTCGAATTTGGTGGCTCTTTGGGAGTTACGGCTATGATGCTTGGATTTCCTTGTTTGATGTGGTATATGTGGATCGGTGCTACATACTACGATGGCCATTTCCCTACCCGGTCCTCCTCTTCCGAGTCCTGGTCGCATTTCGTCAAGCACCTGGCACATCTGGTCTACGAAGGCGCGTTTCCACATTCGAAAGCATGGGCGATCTACTGGACTTTCTTCGTCTTCGAGGCGATTCTCTACCTCTACATGCCTGGTGTCTACAGCAAGGGCAAGCCTCTGCCACACATGGGCGGCAAGCAGCTCACTTACTACTGCTCTGGAGTCTGGTCGTTCTACACTACCATCGTTGTCGCCCTTGGTCTTCACGCTACTGGGCTGTTCAAGCTCTACACCTTGATGGATGAGTTTGGCCCACTGATGTCCGTTGCCATCCTTTCTGGCTTCATAGTTTCCATCATTGCGTACCTTTTCGCCCTTGCGAGAGGCGCACAGCACAGGATGACTGGTTATCCGATCTACGACTTCTTCATGGGAGCAGAGCTCAACCCAAGAATGTTCGGCATCCTTGACTTTAAGATGTTCTTCGAAGTCCGCCTTCCGTGGTTCATTCTGTTCCTTGTTACTCTGGGCGCCGCAGCCAGGCAGTACGAGGTGTACGGCTACGTTACTGGAGAGGTCCTCTTCCTGCTTATGGCGCACTGGTTGTACGCGAACGCTTGCTGCAAGGGCGAGGAGATGATCCCTATCACATGGTGAGCATCGCTCGTGATGTGCTGTATTGCTGTCAAATTCTGATTGTATGAACAGGGACATGTACTACGAGAAGTGGGGTTTCATGCTCATTTTCTGGAACCTGGCTGGTGTGCCACTTTCGTACTGCCACTGCACCATCTACCTTGCCAACCACGATCCATCGACTTACAGGCACTCGTGGCCTGTTCTGGCTCTGTTCTTCACCTCCTACTTGTTCATGTACTGGGTCTGGGACACCGGTAACTCGCAGAAGAACATGTTCCGTGCCCAAGAGCGCGGTTACGCCATGAACCGCAAGACCTTCCCTCAGTTGCCATGGAAAGCGGTCAAGAACCCCAAGAAGATCGAGACCGCTTCGGGAGACACCCTTCTATGCGATGGGTGGTACGGCTATGCTCGCAAGGTACGTGTTTTGCTTTGTTTGGGTAGCTACACTGCTAATGACTGTTGCACAGATCCACTACACTTGCGACCTCTACTTCGCGCTTACCTGGGGCCTGATCACCGGCTTCAATAGCCCGTTCCCATGGTTCTACCCCCTCTTTTTCTCCGTCATGATCGTCCATCGTGCCACCAGAGATATCCAGAGGTGCCGTGAGAAGTACGGTGAAGCGTGGAAGGAGTACGAGAGACGTGTACCATACCTTTTCATACCGGTAAGATTCTTGATCCTCGTATGCTGTCGCTTTACTGACAGCCTTGCAGTATGTCATTTAGGTGTGTATTTGTACTGTACACTATAATTCTAGAGGGATACATAGGGTTGATGCTGCATGAGCGGGCCTGGCGTTTCCGTCATTCAGGAA